TTTGTGAGACCCTATCTCAAAAAAATCCATCAGAAAAAAAGGCTGGTGGAGTGGCTCAAGGTGAAGGCCCCGAGTTCAAACTCCAGTACTGCAAAAACAATAAAAATTTTTTTAATCTTATACTTGCTTTCTTCTTCTTTTTTGAGGCAGCAAACTAAAAAATATTGTGAGAAACATAGAACAGACAAGGTGGCTCTCTCTGTGTAATTCTGGTTTCTTTCTAATCTCTCATTAGTCATGAAGCGAAGAAGAAGCTATGAGACAGTTAATAAGTATTATTCCAAATACATTTTTAATTAACTTGCAATCAACTTCAACACACACGACTGACTGTTCCAGTCCTTGGGTAATGTAGTAACATACTTGTGTAACCGTAAAGTGAATTAAAATCCCACCCCTAGTAGTTATATCTTAACTAGGCAAGAAAGCAATAATTCCTCCTACAATTCCTAGATCTACTTTGACAAAACATAAGAGCAGGAGAAAAAAGGCAACATGGAAATAACTCCTTCTCCTTGGAAATGACACCCTCCCCCTGCATCCTGACCCTTTCTAGCTCTCTCATGTAGTTTATCTACTACAAGGTTCTTCATAGACAAAAAGGAAAGTACACCGTCCCCAAACTCAGTGTAGCGCTTTCCAGAATATAGTAAATAATACCACAGAGGTATGAAAACTGGTACATCCACCATTTTAAACAATTTAAATAGTATTATCAATTGTTGACAGGTATTTTATGATCAATTTTTGTTAGTTCTAACTTATAAAGGTTTGAAATCATTCCAATTGACCACAGAAGTCAATCTCAATTGAGAAAACTCAACTGAAAATTTCAATTTAAATTATGAATGTTAAAAGTTCATTCATGCTGATATCACTATAAACATTTACATGTGCCTATATAGCACATGCGCACACACACAGACACAGGCACAATGATTACTGTGTATTTAGTTTAATTCCATAGACCTATTGACCTGAGAACTATGCTCAATACAGAAATTGGGTAGTTGTTTATCAAATGAGCCTACACCAAATGCCTACACCTGCAGGAGGCAGAGCACACAGGCTCATCCTCCACCACAGACTGGACTTTCACATGAGGAAAAACTAGCTTCTATACTGTAAGCTACTATATTGAAGAGATCTGTTAAAGTAGCTAGTATTGACCAATATAGTTTTCCTTCCCAATATCCCCTGCAAAATATTATTTCTCTCATCCTAGTGGATTTCCTCCTTTCTGTAAAAAATATGTTAGTAGCTGGGTTTCTTGGTAATAGACAGGACAAAAAAAAGGCTTTAAACTGCTAGGCCAAAAGAAATAAAGGTCATGGTTCATGTCTACAAACCTAAAAGTATCTAGGGTATAGAATGAAGGACTCACTAAAGAAAGGGATAAACAAGAGATGTCCAGATATAGATTTTTTTTTTGTTCTATTTGCAATAAACAGTCCCTGGAAGTACATTGTCTGACCAGGAAAGGAAGGAACCACCATTTCCAAAGGATGGTTGATTGTACACAAAACCTCTCTCTGCGTCACCTGTTTGAGCTTCATTATAACACAAAAAAATGATAAATGTTTAAAAAAATGGAAATGCTAATTGCTGACTTCCCCATTATACACTTATCAAATTATCACATTTGTGTCAATCAAAAAATTTTCAATTGAAAATAAGTACAGTCTATTCTTGTTCCCAAACATATACTTGAGCATGGGGATAGGGGGAAGAAAAGAGGTGCAGGAAAGAGGGCAGCCATCAAGCTCAAAATCTTTTCTTTTTTTACATTAAGTTGTTACAGAATGCTTTATATCCTAGCAGATGCTAAAAGCATCTATGTGATACTTGAGGTGTTTTAATGAATCAAGTACAAAATGTCACACAATTTATAAGTATCATCTGTACACTCAAAATCAAATTATTCCCTTATTCACTCATTCAGCAAATATTCTTGGTTAAGTTCATCTGCTGAGCAATGCAGGCATGTGCTATGTGACAACAGACAAGGCTCCAGTTCCAAAGGTGCTTCTGTATTGATGGGAAGACAGAGTAAGCACAGGGGACAGAGAGAGAATAAATAAAGAAACAAATAAAACAACATGGTAATTTCAGAGATTAAGAAGTACATAAATAAATTCTTCAAAAGAAAAACAGTATATTGAAATGATGGGATTGGATGGGCTTTTGACAAATGCCATAGAAAACTTGAGTTATGAGTATAGGGATTTTTGTCATTTTATATACTGTATCTCTAGCACTCAGCAAGGTCCCTCACTTGCATGAGGAATTAATAAACAGTTTGTTGAATGACAACAGGAAGAGTAGTGATCCTAAATAGGTAGACATCTTGGAGTGTTGAAGAAAGAGACAGAAGGCCATGGTGGCCAGAGTATAACAAGTTAGTAAAACGATAAAAGCCAACCTCAGATGCCCTGTCATAGAAAGTTTTGTAGGCCATTGTGAAAAGTTTAGCCCATGGACAAAGGGCTAACTTTATTTACATTTGATGGGAAGCCACTAGACTCTATAAACAGGAGAATGTCTTATCTTCTACCTGCTTTCAAAGGAATCTTCAGCTTTACCTGAAGAGTGTGCTATGGAGCCAGACAGCAAAAGTGGTAAAGAGGATGGAAACTGGGATGAAGATGGGGACCCTGCAAGGGAGAGAAGTGGTCTCACTAGGCAGGTGATTCCTCAGTGGGTGAATGGTGTCACCAATCATAAAGGCAATCCACAGTGTGACTGAGAAAATCAGAAGCATGTGCACCATACACCTTATACTTTAAAAAGGACATGAAACATTAAAATTCCATAGCCAAAGATCCACATTAATTAATAATTCCCTCTCTTTTTCTCTACCCCCACTTTTTACATTACAAATTCTTCCAGTTTTTCCTCCTTAGTCCTATAACATTGCTTTCTTGTTTTCTGTTTTTGCTGTCAATGTCCTCAGGGATCTGGTACTTTTCTCGGAATAATTCCCTAATATGTCTCTCACCTCATTTCTATCCTGAGTTGTACACACTTTGCAAACTCTTGCTGGAGGCCAACCCTCTGCCCATGTCTCATGCCCACTCCTAGCAAATCCTCTCATCTCTCAAGTGTTCTCCTCCTCCTGAATTAACTGTCTCAGGGATCCTGACGAGGATAATAATAATAAATGAGGGTATAATCAAATACACTGCTTCAGCTCCTCCAGAATCTCACAAATGCGTCTTACTATTTCCATGGCTGTGGACACAGCCCAGCAGAGGTCTGGGCCTTCCACCCCTAGGTAAGGCAAGGCCTCCCAAGGGGCTTGGTGTTCTCTAGCCTTTCTAATCATGTTCTATTGTGCTACAAGGAAGCAACAGAACTAAGTGCACTCGCTCGCGCGCGCTCTCTCTCTCTCTCTCTCTCTCTCTCTCTCTCTGTCTTTCTGCCTTGCACATACTAGGCAGGCACTCTACCATTTGAACCATGTCCCCCAACCCTTTTTTCCTTTAGTTATTTTTGAGATTGGGGTCTCACAGTTTTGCCTGGGAAAAGAGGATTCAGACCACATCCTCATATCCGTGTCCCCTGGGGGAGTGGAGTAGGAGAAGCACATGGTACTCAGTGTTCTGCAGGCTGAGTTCAGCACAGCCAGAGCCCCAGAGTAAGGCTAGAGTAAGGTGCAGAGCAGCTGCTTTTTCTAAGATGTTTAGTTCAGAGAAGCAGGAACAAAGGTTTCTCCTGTTAAAATGTCACCCCCACCCCCTGCCCCCGAGAACTGTTGTGCTCCACCTCCTTGCTTACCACTGGGTATAAAAGACTCCCTGAAGGAGGACGGGGCTTTTGGATGGGGGAAATTGCTGAAGGGAGGATTGCTTGGAGGGAGGTTGCTGAAGGGGGAAAATGAGTGGCTGAGGGAGAATTGCTGAATGGAAAAGAATTGCTGCAGGGGAACTGCTACAGGGGAATTGCTAAGGCTTAAGAGAACATGGGACAGTGCAAGTCTGAGAGCAAAGACTCTAAGAGAGACTATGCTAAAGAACAACTAAGAGAAAACATGGGACAGAGCGAGTCTAAGGAAAGAGACTTTAGAGAATAGAAAAGAAGACTTTTAGAAGCAAGGTTTTAAAGAATTATAAAGGAATAAGCTTTTAAAGAAAAGACAGAGAAAAGAAGTGGAGTAAAGAGAAGAGATTAATAAGATAAGAAGCAATTAGGCTGTTGTGCGTCTCCACCTAAGCGCACAACACACCCAGCCCCAACTTTCTGTCTGTCTGTCTGTCTATCCTGTGTCCTTTCTGCATCTCTCATGGACTCCAGTTAGGCCCAGTTAGGTTCAGTAGTAACAGGAGCAAGAGAAAAAGTTCACTCCAGCCTCCCTTGTAATTAGGATTACAATGTGAACTATCATGCCCAATTTTTGGTTGAGATGGTGTCTCTCTAATATTTTGCCTGATCTGACCTTGAATTGCAATCCTCCTGATCTCCACCTCCCTAGTAACTGAGATTACAGACATGAACCACCATACTGGGGCTGGGGAACCAATCTCTGATCATCCTGTGTGCGAAGGTATTCCTCAGCTCCTGACTGCCTTCAGAATAAGCCCATACTCCAGTGGATCAGATCCAGATTCACTGCTCCATGGTGTGTATTATCTAGTCTCATGAGACTCCACACTAGTTTCCGAAGAGCCATCATCAACGTTCCAACTTCTATGGCTGCGTGCTATCATCTGTCAAGGGAAGAATGCCCTTCTATCTCTGTAAGAACTCTATCCATTCTGCACTGCCCAGCACAAACGCCACTGACCCCATGAAACACCCCCATAACTCTAGTGAGAACTAGTCACTCTCCCCCCACAGCCCCGCAACTCTTATCTGTAGTCTAACGCCTGCCTGTGTTGTGGCTGTTCACTTTAAAGGCTGAAAACTATCTTACCCTAAACCCAAAGCTCCCTAAAACACTGTTCTATATACATCAGGTACTGAAAATGCTGGAGAAGTACAAATTAAACTGATTAGTGGGATCAAGATACAGGCAAGGCAGTTTGTGAAAACGTAGATTCTATAAGCAAATTAAGAAAATGATTACCGTGGTGGATGATCCCATTTTCTAATAATGCTTGTCCTAAGTGAACACCTTCTTCAGGCCTGTGAATTTCTCCAATTTCCAACAGCCATGAAACAAATTCACTGCAACAGAAAGTCAGTGGAAAGACAGTTAATTTCTTTCCCAAGAAGAATGTACCATGTGGTCACGATGTAACTATGAAAGGAGTCTCAAAATATAAAGGGATCTTTATAATGCATTTCAACAGGCATTTTTCAAATACACAAGGCCCAATCACAGAACATGAACTCTGTTTTAGAGGCTGTTCTTGTCCCACACTGAGACTCTTCCAAAATATACTAAATAAACAATTCTACTTGCTGAGGCCTCTCTTAAATCCAAATGCTAAGAGTAGTTTTAATTAGAAGGCTACAATCCACATAAAGGCAAAGAGTCATATGGAATCATTAAGAGAACACTAAATATAGACACATTTTAAAAATAAAATGTTATCATGCTCATGTTTCAAAAATCTAACATTTGAAATTTTTCATAAACTAATGAATTTGTTTCAGACTTATTTTGTTTTTGGCATAGAGGCCAAAGAATCAAAGCTTTGGAAAGCATCAGGAAATTTCTTTTCCATTTATTTCAAAATCAATGGCAAAACAAATGCCTAATGTCAAGTAATCAAGAGACATGAAATTCTAAAAATTTTCTAGTCTAAGAAATACACTTTAAGACAAAAAATGTTGGAAAAGTGCATTCTATTCCTTTACTAAATTAGAATCATCAAAAAAAATAAGAGTATGAGAAAGAATAAGGATTTGTGAAGGTAAAGTATAATGGTTAATATCATGTACTTTGCAATAAGGCAGTACAGAATCAAATCCTGTGGCTATGTGACCGCTCTCTCAGGCTCAGTTTTTTGCATTGATAACATAGAGATAATAACAAGAACACCAGTGTCACAGTACGGTCAAAGTACGAAGTGATGATGCATGTCAGGAACTCAGCACAGTGCCTGGCACACAGTGAGCTCTTAGGAAATGCCAGTGGATTTAGATGGCTGATGTTGCTAAAGGATAACTCTCCACTCTGTCACCAAATTTCTGAAAAGTGACAAATTCAAATAAGAAAAAGAACCAACTTAAATATTGCTAGAATGTGATGGTTTTTAAAGTGGGAGAGGAAGTAGGAAAGGAAGTTAATGAGTGGGTTCATTATGGGATCTACATGAATAACGGAAGAGCCCAACAACATCTGCGAAAGACAATAATTCACTCAGACATGATTTCAAACTTGTAGTGATGCATCAGTGGGGTACTATTCAGCAAAGGCCACAGCTAAGATTTATTAAATCTATCCTAAGCATCAGATGTGCTAGGAAATGCTTTACTTATCTTCATAACTACTAACAAGCATTACAACCATTGGAGATGGCATGGATCAAGGTTAGCAAAACCCTTTCACCTATAATAAGGACAAATTTGACCTGAGCTAAATTTCTAGCTTTGTTCCCCTAAAGAAGGTAGAGTGTCCTTAGTGCTATGCTAAAAATGATCCCTGATAACTACATTGCATGCCTATAAAAACCTGGTGGGAAGCCAAGCTTGAAGTGATTCTCTTGCAAATGGGCATATCCCTGTAAGGACCCTGGAACTTATAGCAGTGGAGTTGTCACCAGAGACCTTGTCTATTTGCTGCATGAGGCTTCTATGTCTAGCCAGACGTAGATCTGTTCTGCAAATCTTTGTTCAAGAGCCATCACCTGGGGCGACTGTAACATAGCATGGTTGCCAGGAGCAACACTGCCCTGCAGGCAGGGGAATTCCTGGCCTATATTTTTCAGAGTTGGGGGGCGGGGTAGATGAGGCCTATGGTTATGCTGTATGTACCCACAGCTAATTAAAAAGATATCCTGAGGGCATTGGAGTTAAGCACTACAACCATCTCCATGTTTCAGGAAGAAACAGAAACTAGCCAGTGGTATGACCAGGATTTGAACACAGGTAATCTGATTGCAATCTACGCTTTGAACTTCTACTCCAGTCTACTTTTACAGAATTGACATTGGAACTTGTTAAGCTCCCTGATCCAATTTCTGCATCTTTAAAAAAGCATAATGTTATTAAACTCCTAAGTATGAATTAGAAGATTAGAAATTATATATGTTGCCAGTAGAGTCTAGCCTAGGAAAAGCTAACCTTCCCATTGGTTCTGCATTAATTAAACCAGACAGAGCATCCCACTGGCCCTGACTGCAGAAACCAAATGACACATACCCTAAGTCTGCCTTGTTTGTGGATTTATTATGAAGCAAGCACAGTCAAAAAATGTGAAAACAAATCAAAACAAATTTCAAAAACAAAAAATTTAAATTCCCACATGTGCAGCACACAGCTGAGCTGATACGAAGATGCGTTATCATCAGTTATGTTTAAATCAATGTATGATCTGCTGAGTGTTTTCCTGCTCTTGGTTTTGTGAAAATATGCCCCCCAAAAGGCAAATGGTACCCCAAAAGCAAGGTAAAAGTTGATGTGCTTAATTTAAGTAATGCAGCAAAAGTTTTGGATTTTTCAAAAGGTGGCGTGTCATTAGGGAAGCCTCTGCAACAAGCACTGCAACACAGCACTGAATTCAATACATCCTGAGCATTCCTGATTTTTCCTCGATAGTAGTATCCTTGGAACCACAGACTTACGGGTGCACTGCAGTCAGTCCCTTACAGAAGGTTTTTCATACTCTTCATCCATACCATTTCATCATGAATTGATCGGTAATTTAGACCTGTGAATTCAGCTCTCCAGTATTCTCTAACCTGAATCCACTACCAACTATGACTTTCAGGTTCTGTATGTACTTCCATGCCAGACCTGCATCTTGTCCCGTACAGGCACACCCGCCTCCCTGCCATGCCAATTCTTGCCTGGCCCCAACCTCTGCTTTACTCTCAGGACATGGTATACCAGAACTGTAGAAGTCAAGAAGGAATGGAGAGATGTCGTATGTTATCTGGTCATAATTCTGGCTCTCTTTCTATTACCTCATCCTGCTATGACCCAGGAAATGTGGATCCATAAAGAAGTATCCAAAATGCATGGGAGAATATTTTTAAGAGAACAAAATAATCAAAGGAAAGTTATCATATGAAATAGTGAACATATGAATGAAATGCTTGTGTCCAGATTATTCACCCTACCTTCCAAGAAAGCATTTAGGGAATGTAGTCAGTTTTCTTTTCCTGTCTTTGATCAGATTTCCTTGTTTGCACATCATTTTATAAAGTTTCTCACCCTGTTCAGAGATCATTACCCAGGTGTCTTGCTCCATTCCTAATTTTAAACCTATCAAAAATGAGAGAAAAGACATCAAGTGATTGAGAAGTTCCTTCATTCATTTGCTCATTAAACAAGCATCTATTGCATGTCTACCATGTACTGGAGGTTGTGGGTACAGAGATCTGTAAGACTAGGGCCAGTTTTCAGAAGTTCATAGTATACTAGGTTGACAGCCAAGACAAGCACCCGAGGGCAGAAGACACCTTTGTACCACTGCCCCAAAGTCCAGTAGTCCAGCCAGTTGAGTAAGAACAGCAGATACAGCCAGCAGAGCTGGACAGGGTAGTCCCAGGAACAGCCCAGGGAGAAAACTGTGACACAGCAGAGGCTCATTCAGGGTACCTTACCTCTACATGGGAAATGTTAAGAAATCTTTTACAGAAGGGGCATGTTCAAATACACAACTAAGAACAGGCATTTCTAGAGAAAAAAAGTATTCCTAAGAACTAATGTCAAGAAACACAGACACGCAGCCCTAGGTTTTAGATGAAAGGATAGATGTGCAGATGGGTTAGGCAGGGTCCTTGCAGTTTCAACTTACTTAGTTACTTAAAAAAAATCTAAGTGTTTTAACCAGCAGGACGGAGAAAGCAGGAAAGAAAATTTGATTACTTTGGAAACAAAACTCGGACAGTGTAGGGAACAAATTGAAGGGAAAGGGGTTTAAAAGAGGAAGACCTTTTAGAAGGACAATGTAAAACTTCAAGCAAGTTCAAGTTCTTGCAAACAAGAAGGGGCTCCAGGGTAAGGAGGATGACACTGGGCAACAGACAGCAATGCTACCGACAGGGCACAGAAACTAGTTGTAGGAGAGAAGAAAGAAGGATGACTTCCAAGGTTAGATGAGAGTAAGTTTTAGAGGTGGGGATGCTTATTGGGTGAAGGCATCTGAGCAGCAAAGAGCCCATCTGTACTGAGTGTTGAGCAGAGTCCAGGGGTCAGTACAATACATGGATGTGAAGCCCAGGAGACAGGCCAAGGTTGGACATAAACACTGAGAAATTGGCAGTGTAGAAGTAGAAGTTAATGTAGTGGGAATAGATGAGCCACACAAGGACTCGAGTTAGAGGCAGCCAGTGCCAAATCTGAGATCCTGGGACTCCTAACACTTAATCAGTGGATGGAACCAAGGAAGGACTGCAGCAGAAGAAGAAATATTTGCATAATGTTAGTCTCCTAAGACAGATAATTTTCTACTAAATTTTTATTTCTTAAAATAGAGAAGCTGCTAACATTTACCAGTAATAGTGAACAATCCCACAAGAATAGAGGCTGATAAAGATAGATATCATAAAGAATTTTGTAGACTTTTCTTCCTTACTTTTTTTTCTTTCAGATTTTGCCTCTGGGAGTAAAATGGTTCCTGACCAAAAAAAAATTCATCTTTTAAGTTATTTGTTTTGCTACTTGAATGGATTGCTAGGCTCAACACATCTTAGAGTCAGTTAGGCATTCATAATCTTTGTTTTAAATTTTTCTATCTGGTTCTTTACCCAAGATCAAGGGAATAATGATTTGAAAACATATTGGAAATTCTTAAACAAATGTGTACTATGAATATTTTCATCAAAGTAGAAACTTTGTATATTCTTCAAGGGAAAACATTTGCAGATGAAAGAGAGAGCTCTTCCTGTTCTGAAACTTCACTGCCAATGAGGTGTTTTATTTCTGAATCTCAGGCATCAACAGTGCTGTCTTTCCTAAAAATCAAGCGATCAAAGGCCTGGTGTGGTGGTGCACATCTGTAATCTTAGCTACTCAGGAGTCAGAGAGCAGGAGGGCTGGTTCAAGGCCAGCCTGGCGAAAATGTTAGTGAGACCCAATCTCAAACAGTAAGCTGTATGTGATAGTGTGTATCTTTAAACCAGCTATGAAGGAGGTGCAGGCAGGAGGGTTGTAGTCCAGGCCAGCCTAAGGAAAAAAGAGACCTATCAAAAAAAAAAAAAAAAAAAAAAAAACTAAAGCAAAAAAGACTGGGAGCATGACTCCAGTGATAGAGCACATGCCTAGCAAGTTCAAGACCCTGAGTGTAAACCCCAGTACTACAAAAAAAAAAAAAAAAAAAGAGAGAGAGAGAAAAGAATGGAAGAAATCAATAAGTGAAGAAATATAAGCATTTCTATTTCTGAAATGAATTATAAAAAAAAGTCTTCTTGCAGATAAACTTCATATACACCTGAATGTTGCCACACCAAACACATTTTGAAACACTTCCTAGAAGCAAATTATAACTAGGACTCCTCATATGAACAAGCTACTTATTAGTTACATTGCATCATATTCAATGATATTCTAACAATAAGTAAAGTTTATACACAAACAACACATACACACACACAGTACCTAAATCTGTAATTAGGAAGCTAACATATTTTGTCTAGGAATTTTAAGTATGCTACAAAAATACAGACAGTAATTGTTGTAGGTCCTAAGACACTACAATACATTATGGAAGTCTGTCTCTTAAAGAAAGATTGTGATACTGCTTTACAATGTGCAAAGAAACTTGAACAAATTTTAAAGCAAGTATAACCAAAAGGCATTGCAAGCCATACTATGTTACTAACTGTATAAAGTTTTCCTTTTATTTTAGTAACAATAAAGTATTCAAAAATATTTTAGTATGTAGCTTACATCACATAGTAAATCAAAGTGAACATCACACAATGATCTGCTTTTTTGTATCTTTTTTCCTGTTCTCTGCTCTTGTGCTAAGTTAGAATCTTCCCAGAATATAATGGTTCCTGATTCTTATACCCACCTTTTCGTCGTTCTCTTTCTTTTAAAATAGCTTCAAACCATTCGTGCTTTTCTTCAGGTGTTTTTGCCATGCACACAAACCATTTATTTTTTGCTGTGTTATGTATCTTCCAACCGTTAACAACAATGTGCCCACTGCTATGAAAATCAGCTGAAAATGAATAATGAATAAGTAATTATTCAATAGTACAATGACACGATCATTAAACTCATGGAAGTTCCAAAGCCTCTGAGTTCTTCAAAATAATTTAGCTTAAGTATGTATACTTAAAAATATAACCATTGGAAAACTACAGAAATGTTGATATAATGAATGTAGTTAGTATTTATAATAGAACATGTCTAATGCATATGAAATTATATGACACATAGTACATGAAATTAAATACCACAAAGTAACATTTACTTGCTCTCCAAAAGTACTGTTCAAGTTTCTAAAGCAATAAAAGAAAAACATTTAGGGTATTTTCTTTTCAATAATCAAACATTTAAGGTACCAAATTAATGTTCTAATGTTCTGTAAATATAATATTCTACACTTCAGAGACAGTCTTACCCCACAAAAAGAAATTCTCTGTTATAATAAACAGCATAGTAAAAATTAGGACAAGTCCATAGAACATACTAGGGTACATGCACCTAAACTGTAATCAAAGGAAGCACAGAAATGCCCAATATTCTCACTGCTCCCGGCTGAAAGGGACTCTTTAAAGTCACACCATTCCTTACACTTCCATGAATAGAAGCTCACAATTTTTCCTTGAGGATAAGTTAACATCTCATTTTCTTTTTCAAAACCTTTCCATATTTTTGACGATTTTGTCATGCTGGATTTGAAAATGTCACTAGCAAAATGGCAATGCTCGACATAACTGGTGGCGCTTTTGGTCAAAAATGATTCTGTACAGGTGTGGGGTCTTTAAAACATTCAGGTTACATTTGAGACAGCACTAGATTTGGTAAAACATCAGTCTGTATTTCATATGTGCCATAAGCCCACCAGTAATCAGTAACCACTTCCAATAATACAGAAACTCCCCCCATGAACAAATTACAATCCATTTTTAAAGGAATTTTTGTACTTTTGTCTTTATGTATTTAATTCACATTCTTTACATGTTTAATGCATGAACCACAAAATCCATGTCAGATAAGCATTAACCCGCATTAATGGGAAAATAAAAATTATTACTTCATAATTACACTACACATTTTCCTTAGTAACTACAAAAACATCTGGAACTATACATGTTACAGCCCCCACTAACTTGTCCCCCGAGAGACCCATGATTGGTTTCATGAATCTTGCACTGCTTTTTAGAAGATTCCACACTCACACTATGGTGTTATCCCCTTAGCCATGCTCTATATAAAGCAAACCACAGTGGTCACACAGAGCCTACTTGAAAATGAGCACGAATTCTTCCCACAGAGCCCAGGGGAACACAAATTCACGTACCAAAAGAACCAGGGCGATGCTCCTGGCATAACAGGTGTGCGTCCTGGGCGAGCCATCTCTAAAACTCGGTCTCCCTTCCTTCCTTACTGGAGTTAGGTCACTGCCCTCTTCACATCCTGCTTACTCTTCCTTCAGTATTTTTTCATCAGACCAACATCTTAGCTCAGAAAGTGTGGCATCTCACCACTGAAATAACTCAAACATGTACACCTTACTCTGAGGCATTTTTCTGCCTCCACTCAACCTAACAGACACCATTTTCCACTATATGCTGATGTGTTTCCACCACTCTGTGCTTGTCTGCTGCTTTCCTGTTTGTCGAGTAAACTATCCTCCCTGTTTCATGGACTCTTTTATCCTTTTAAAATGCACCTACTTCTTCCATGAAGCCCTGGCTGACTGCTCCAAACTTCCTTTAGAAATCATACAATTAAGCCCAGGAGCAGACATGGGAGCTTGTGCCTAACTGCATGTGGCTGTTTCAAGGTACAGAAACTGAGATCATTTATATACAAATATATATACATATATGCCTATATATATACACATAACAGGACTCAAAATACAGCATTCAGACTTCATAATATAATTACCAAATGTTCTACAAGTAAGCAATTGCTTCCCATTTACTTCAAAAGAGACAGTCATATGTAAATAGCTTCATCATTTTAATCATAGCACATTGTCAATAGAGTCAAATTATGAATTATGTTCATCCATAAGGAACATTCTCATTGAGATTGTGGAAAAGTCAACAGTGTTTCTCCTTAGTAGGTGTTTTCATTTCATTTTGTTTTGTTTTGGTAGTCATGCACTCTGTCACTGAGCTATATCAAAACCCTTTACCCTAAGTAGGAATTTTTAAATATTTTAAATGAGGAATAACTTATTAAATGAAAAACAGACATTCACAAGCTTCAATGGATCTAAAACAGTAAATTTATACAAAGCATCCAAAAGAGAATGGAATTTGCAAGTTCAATAGTCTCAAGTACCTGATTTGTTCTAAAACCAGAAATATTTAAGGGGCAGACCTCAACAAGTCTGTAACTACTTTGAAGCTATACAGTTTACAAATTCCTTATTCTTAACTCAGCACTTTTATTAATGAGATGGTGTTTTTCCAAAGCTGGTACACTATATAAATCTCAGTGGACAAACTGTAACCATTTAATAAATTTTCCATTCCATAAGATGGACAACATCCAAGTATTGCTAAAATACTTATTCAAAACGTCTGATGACTGATGTCTAAAAATGTATTCAACCCTCGTTCCAGTGATCAATAGTATTAACACACAAATTTCCCAGGGAAAATTTTAAAATTACAATGTACTCATGAATATTTAACGTTAAGAAAACTGTATTTTAGAGTAAATCCTTGATTTTTATCAAATAACAGGTGAAATTTTTCTAGAATCCAAAAGAGCACAGTATTTTGTGGCAAAAAAAGAAAAAATTCCCTTTAAAACCTTAAAAAGTGTCTCATCCCTTAACCTTTTTGAATTCTCAAATAAATTCCCACAAATTAATAATATCCAAATTTTAGGTGTACAGGGAAAGAACTAGCCAGGCACGGTGGCTCAAGCCTGTCATCACAGCTATGCAGGAGGCGGTATTGGGAGGATTGGGGTTCAAGGTCAGCCAGGCAAAAAAGTTCACGAGAACCAAAAAAGTTGTCATCACTGCTACAGGAAGATGCATAAAAATAGGAGGATTATGATCCAGGGTAGCCCAGGCAGGCATCAAGACCCTATCTCAAAAATAAGCCGAGCAAAAAGGGGTAGAAGTATGGCTCAAGTGGTAGAGTGCCAGCCTAACAAGCAGGAAGCCTTGAATTCAAGCCCCAGTACTGCCAAAAAAAAAAGAGAAAGAATTATTACATTCTTCTACTCTTTTCAATATTGTAAAGATAGTGTGTCATTTTAATCAAGAATTATTCAACTCATCTGGGCAAAGTGACTCACACCTGTAATCCTAGCTACTCAGGAGGCAGAGCTCAGGAGGATCACAGTTCAAAGCCAGCTCCAAGTGAATAGTTCACAAGACCCTATCTCAAATACACCCAACACCAAATAAGGCTGCTGAAGTTCAAATGGTAGAGCGCCTTCCTCATAAGTGTGAGGCCCAAGTTCAAACTCCAATGCCACCAAAAATAATTATTCAATTCAGCTTATGCAAGATTGCATTTATTACACTATTCTGTGGCTTATTTGGTGATAAGGCATGAGAAAAAGTTGACTCTAATGTTAAGATGATGCTTTTACTTAAAGAAAAAAATGATGAAAAAATTATAGAAATCGTATTTTTAAACACTTTGAAAATACATGCACCAAAAGGAAAATTTATGAAAATATTTTTAAATCTCATTTAGAAGTAAAACTTAATTTCATAAAAACAATGTAATAAATACCTTAAGATGGCTTCAAATATTTATATGAAAAATAAATATTTTTTATTATTGGTCATGGTGACTAGACCAGGCAAAAAGTTAACATGAACCCATCTCAGCAAACAAGCCAGGAAGTACTGGCACACACCTTTGATCGCAGCTATGCTGGCAGCCATAGGTAGGAGATCACAGTCTGAAACTGCCCCATGGCAAAAATAAGACCCTACCTAAAAAAATAACTAAAAGTGGTAGATCAGGTGCCCAGCAAGCACAAGGACCAGGGTTCAAACTCTAATTCCATCAAAAAAATTAAAATAAAAAGCTGAAATTTTTCTTCAAAAAAGTTCACTTTTAAAGAACACCTTAAAACTAAAAATGTCCATCTTATGTAATCTATGGTTTCCTGAACCCTGAACTATGGACCACATTTTATAAAAGTCAACATTCTTGCCTTCTGTGAAGCCACAAAAATAATGTACCTTATAAGAGAAAATACAAAGGATCTAGTACTACTTTTTGTAAGGCTTCCCAAGTCTGTGTTCTGAAAATTACAATGAAAATTAACCCTAGGAAGTTCCGTAGCTCTCCTACTATTGCTTTTAAGTTGGTATTTGCATGGTATAATAATCAAACTAATGTTCCCAGAAAGAGTCTTCAAAGAGCCACTGAAACAAGAATTAAATCTAGAGAATGGTTGAATGAAAATCTGGCTAGAAACTTAATCCTTAATAACTTCCTTTAAGACAGAAAATAAGCTGTTGTGGTAGAGCGCCTGCCTAGCAAGCTTGAGGCCAAGTTCAAATCCCCTTTTTGCCACACATACACACAAAAAAAGAATCCTTCATAAATAGAAGAAATAATATATAAATTTTTGTACTTCTGCATGCCAATCACTACTTAATTATAATAAAGATATAACTACATTATAACACAAAATCATTTAGCTTTATAAATAAAATTACAATCATATTTATTTCTCAAAAGATCTGAGCTATTTACATGTCAGGTGAGAGCTTTCCATTCATAATGCAATTCTTCCTTCTGCAAGTTTGAGCTAAATCACTGCAGTTAGTTGTTTGGTAGCTTTTTCCTTAGAAAAGCATTCTACTTACACCTACAGTATATAAAAATTCAGTATTCCTATGATTCAAATGAAAGGAAAACTTCTCCATTCAAATTTCCATCAAAACATCCAAGCATACTTAAAAACATCTTAACTCACTCGGTTTTGTAACATATCTACATATGGTATTGTTTTTGAGGTTTAGTTTGGGGCAGTTGAAAACAAACCTGATGCTTG